AATACACTTAATTTTTTGTAAGCTGTTTTTGAAATTACGAATATAGACATGCGACTTTTTACGCGATCATTTTTTACACAGAAAAGAAATCATTTTGTTTTGAAAATTTTTACGTTTAACTGTTTTTTTAATTTGAAAATTTTATGGGTATACAATTTTCTTAATGTCGTTCGATTGTCTGTCCATCTTTACGTCTCTTTTCTTAATCTCCAGAACGGAGTTAGATGATCTGTACGATTCGTTTGCTAAAGAAAGTGTATGATGTTGAGGCGCAAGACACTAATTTAAAGGCGTTGAGAATATATTTTAAATGAAATAAATTTAAAAAATGGTTGTCACAATGCGGGGCCGAAAGTTTTAATGTCACCATAAGTATTTGCTCGTTAACATTGCGTTATTGTTTAAAAAAAAATTGCTGTTTTTGTTGAAAGATTGGATTTAAAATTACAATAACTGATTTATGTTTTTAAAGCATGGTATAGGTACAGTACTATATGTACGGTGCATCAGAGATTACTTACCTTATGTTGATTTTGTTTCCTACGCTTCCTTGTATTTAGTTTATTTCCTTACAGATAATGCGCGGGTCCTTACATTAGTTTTTCACTCCAACTCACTCCATAAATGAGTCACTGAGAGGGCTTTTTTCAGCAGAATTTGGCTAGTAATGGAATGGCCGGGTGATGAGGCGTGGGAAATTTATAAATGATTTACATATACAGTGTAGTGAAGAGAAACGAAAAGAATAAAACACCCGAAAACCCTAATACCTTTTGCATATCTACAAATTTTCTTAGCTAATCAACGCAATTAATTTTAAATTATTCTGTATTATAAACTTAGAGGATGCCCATAAATTACGTAACGCAGACACGATTATAAGGGGTTGGGTTACGTAATGTTAGGAAATCGACCCCAAAATTCGTATTTCCGAAGAGTTGATAGCGAAACTACCATCATTGCTTTGTACGTAATTAATAAAATAACGTGACGTACACTACCCCATTCTGTGTATTGTTCCATACTACAACTGCGGCCGTTGTTTTCATTAAATTAAAAAAAGTTACTTGTGTAGTGCTGCCATCTATCGGTATTAATGTTATAAATCTCGATAATTAAGTTTAAAAAATAATATATATACAAAAAAAATTGGAAAATATTTAAAAAAATTATTTCTTTAAGATCTATCCTTCATAATTTAATTATAATAATTTAAAAGAAAAAAAATAGTTTGTTTAATTAAATTACTTTTTAGTAAAAAAATTAATAAATAAAAATAAACATACGAAAATTCTCAGAAATACCACTTACATTCCCCATAAACGGTGTAAGATATGTATAATGTTCCATCACTGAATTCTCGTAAGATTCGAACCCGTAACCTCAAGCAATAGGAAGACAGATACGTTAACATCCCTCCAATCAACGACGCTGTACTTAGTTTTATTATAATACATTTATAGTGTTATATATTATCAAACGGCACTTATTTTAAATGTTGAAGTAAATAATTAAAAATAAAATATTTAATTTTAATAAGATTTAAAACTGTTAAAAATTAAAATAGAAATTTAATTAAATAAAATATCGATTTTATTTGTGGCGCCATCTTTTGGTGGATTTTTGCAATAATTTTGTTTACTAACGTTTTCTAAAAAGAAAATTCAAAAATGACGTAAATATATACGAAATTGTGACGTAACGGACATCCATAAACATTCCTATATATATACATATATATTTATTTATTTATTTAATGTACAAGAACTCTCATAGAAATAATAAATGAAATAAGGAATTTTATGTTAGATTAATTCTGCATTAATACATGGATATACCAGGCCATGGTAAAGCTCAATATGGTGGCCTTACCTTCTTAGGTGTCGTTACTAGTATTTTTGTTCCGTATGCCTCTATAGAAATTTGGAATTGGGACTCGTATGTGCCATATTCATGGGCACGTATGAAGAGCCCAATTTCAAAAAAGAATTGTTGAAATTATTATTTTGTATGAAGCTAAGGGAGGAGTTCAACTGATCTGGTGTCCTGTCTGCCCGGAAATCCACGAAGTCGACCGCAAACTGCTCCATGCAGAATTCCAAGTACTAGTTGCATCATTAAGTGAAAATCACAGAAACTTTCGTGGAAATAGGCATTTGTAATCAAAAATTCAATTTCGAACCTCTTAATAAATTTAAATAAGCTTGCGTATCGCGGCACCCTGTTGATAGAACCAATTGTAACTGGTACTCAAGTTGAAAACCAAGAGCAAACTTGTATGGTTTTTATAGAAGAGTACAGTGACCCCCCCTATAAACTGTTGATTTTTCTGTTTTATATGAATTCCATGTTGTACGAGTCACTTAGATTTTACAAATACTTGAGCCGTTCACAGCTTGGCACACGTATTTGTAAAATCTAAGTGACTCGTACAATATGAAATTCATATAAAACAGAAAAATCAACAGTGTTATAGGGGGGTCGACTTATACGTGTTTTCTAGGCACAAAATCTCAATTGGATTCTAATTTATAAAAATAGGATTAGTCATAAGGTTAAAATAAAAAAAAAAATACGGTGTTAAAACTAATTGACTTTAAGTGCAATTCAATTCAGAAATATTATATTTATGTTTATATCGTAACCTCTTATCAAACTTACTTTTCGCTAGAAGAATCTTGTGTCCTTCAATCATTACTTATCTGAAATCAAACGTTCTCATATAATATTTCAAATTAATGGCTTTCAATCTAGTTTAATCTTATCGAACTTTATTATGTATGTATAAATAAACAGATTTATTACTAGTAATCATGGCTGGACTTAAGCTGCTTTCAGACTCTTGTTACGCCTTCTTTGATTGTTCATACGTAACATAACTTAAGAGCTTGTCTGAAACGCCGTTATGGCTCTAAGCTATAATATATAATACGCACTTCTTTCCACCAAATAATATATTTAAAAATATGAGGCCCTAAGCTATTAATTCACAGCATAAAATTATAAACTTACATGTGAAAATGACAAGGCCCTCAGCTATAGATTCGTAACGGGAGGTTCTAAGTTGTAGCTTATTTCCGGCTGTACTATTAACTAGATAATTTTATTTACAGAATATTTAAAATATGTAAGGTTTTTTATATTAATACGCCTTATTTATAACCTGTTTGTAAATATATTTGCAGTAGAAATTTTAGGTGACAAGTAACTGAAAGATATTCGGCATGCGATGTCGTCAATGTCACACAAAGAAGACACTCGCATCCCAAGTGTCCTTGGCCTTGACGTCAGTCTCGTGCTGCAAAATGGGCCGAGTTACCATTCCTTTCTATCTTTATGTGAATCGAAGCCCGATAAAGGAGCGCACCTCGAAATATTATCGATAAGGAGAAGACCCACGTGACAAATTGGTATATAATATATTGTTTGGTTCTTGCAAAACTTAAATCTAAATAAACTTTTGCTTAAAGGGGGAGTAAATTAAAATTTCTGAAGGTCAAGACTAATTATCGTGTATATAATTATTGTATAAATGTTCGTTGAGGATTATATTAACAATTATAGAATAATCTAAATTAATTTTACTAGAATTTTATATAGGACGGTAAGAGTAACGATTCTAATGACGTAATACATGCGTCATAAACACGTGTAAACAGTGTTTTAGTTACTACTATTTGGCTATTTAATAGTTAATTAAGGAACATGTCCAGATAAAAGGAAGCCAGAAGGCCATTTGGCCAGCACCCGAGCCACAGAGGGCCTTAAAATTTGGTGTATTATGTAGAAAAACACATTTTACTCACATACTTGTGATTTTCAGACTCATGGGGCCTCACCTTTTTTTCGGACCCTGCTAAACTGAGTATTAAAAGCTACTCAAACTCTCAGGCCCTGCTAGATAGGGTATTAACACCTATCAAATCCCTCCGACCTTGCTAGATAGAGCGTTAATACCTACTGGAGCTATATTTTTATAATAATATAACTGAATATATGAAATATTTAGTTTCTAAATTGCCGAATTAGTCGCATTTAAATTTTAAAATTTAAATTTCGCGGCCAAATGCATAAAATTTATCCATTTCCTGCATTAAACAATTGGTTATTGACTCGATCCACACCTGATTTTCGTTCGCTAGGGGGCGCGTATACGGCGGGAAAAAGGATCAAGCTCATCAGCGCCACCTAACGGATGTAAAACACATCGGGCTCGTCACATGATGGAACTATCCGGTCTCATTGGATCGCAATTTTCCCAAATCTCGAGAATTGTGTGAGGTGAGTCATTTTTCTCGCGTTTGTTCGCGGATTATTTTTGCTTGGATGCAGAAAATTTCTGCTCAAACATCGTCTTTAACTCTTATATTAATCGATGGAAATATATATATATTCGGAAATTAACACCAGGTCGGTGACATCAAACGGTTAAAAACGGAAGGGCAAACTATCACTTTCGACAATTAGCGAGGGAGGAAAATAGCCAAGAATAACGCTTCCCGCGGTTCATTTTGTCCTTCACACGTCAATAAACCCCCATCTTCGAGTGGAGGATTTTCAGTGATGACGAAAGATCTCCCGTTCTTTGGCGCTAAGTCGGGTCGCTATTAATAGGAACCGGCAGGGGGGAGGGAAACGCCTTTTTTAAAACTTCGGAAGGAAGGAAAATCCCGTTAAAAAAGCGAGAAAATCAACCCTGGCGTAGAAAATTTACGATTATGTTAATTGTTAGGGAACGAGACACAATAATTTAAGAGAAATTTTACAACACGAGGGCTCGGGGATGGTTTGTTTTTTCTTCTTGTTTTTAAGGGGATTTTCTCCTGACAGATCGGAGCGCTGTTAGCAAGAGCTTAGGAATGAAGAATACGAAGAGAACACAGGGATGGATGGATAGATAGATAGATAGATAGAAAGAGAGAATGGCACCGAGCCATTTTTCCCAAATTATCTCGTGAGATCTGTCACGCGCCGATTCAAACGACGAAGGACGACGCCGCGAGGAATTCTCTCTCTCCCCTTTGGGGTGGAGGCCCGAATTTTCTTTCGGGACTCCACGTCGCCGGAGCGCGTTCTTAGCGTTTCGAATCGGAAACCGCGATAAATTTCACGCATTTCTTACACGACGTAAGGGATATCACGTGTCGCCAATTGAAAAATTACGTCTACGAACGGAAAGATGCCACCACCAATTTCGGAGGGTTTGCAACACTGGAAACAAACACGAGGAGCCAAATATCGGAAACGTAAACGTGGTGTAAGGTCGCAGGGGGTGACGAGATTCCTATTTCCGGTCGGTTGTTTACAACGGTGGCCGATAACTCCGCGTGTTATCTGCGAAGAGCTAAGGAAATTCTAAGGATGCGACCGACTTTCACTTTTTAAAAATGGATTCACCAATCCTTCTTGTATATATATTATAGGTAAGAATTTGCATGTTTTTTACTTAATTAAAGCTCTCTTAAAATATAAATTTCGCTTGTTATCTGAGATGCGATCGCTTCGTTCGTCCCATCAATCATATTTTTAGATATAAATTTGCAAGCTCGACTTGGCAGGAGTTTCGGGTATCGAATTCTTTTTATCCAAAAAAAAAAATAAATAATTCTTTTTATAAATCCCGTGGATACTTCGATATTTAAAAAAAACATTCGTAAGTATTTTGTAAATATTTACGACACTTAGATACAGAAGGTAGCGTATAACTCGGTTAACTAAGTTTTGGGCCGTCCTGTACTTCATACAATATAAATTTGCTAGGAATGTAAGCCCGTATCTTCGAGTTTTTCGGATTTATGAGGTACTGGGGCGCCAGTTCGATGTTCGGAGGTATAAATAGACACGTGCTATTGGTACTGTAATTGTTAAGGTGTATCATTTATAAGAAGTCACCCCTCTAAAGCGAGTGGCAATTAAAAGGTTAGCAAAGGCACCATTTTATTTAATGTCAAATCAGCATTTCATTGCGGTATTTTTTATTTTTATTTTTTTTTACCTTTATGCTACAGAATAAAAGCTTCTTGTTGATGAGTTACACGATGTTTTATAGTGTTTTCTGTCATCTGTAGCAGAATATTGCCTAATAGATTTTTATTCTATGTCTAAATAACGTTTCTTTATAGTGTAAAGTTCGTGTTTAAGATGAGTTTTTACCCCTTAGAATCACACTAGTTTGTAAGGAATTCCGTTTCCTGTGTTTGTGTATGTATCGAAAAAATGTTAAGTCTGTTGAATTTTTGCTATGTGAAGAACGGAATCGCTCTCGACGAATGATTAGAACGGTCCAACATGTTTAGTATTGTTCACTTCCCCCAAAGGCATTCCCAAGCTTCCATTGTATAGCACCGAACCGGAATGGAGTATGTGTTTAGTGGTATTTTTGCTATTCACTTGTCATTTCTAGTCCCCAATTGTGATCCAACCAACTTTTTTTTTTATTTTTCTTTTCTGGTTACGTTCAGGTTGGAATAATGCAACACACTCAAACCCTCTCTTCTTCTAGTTACGTTCGAAAAGTGCAGTTCGCTTTCGATGTTTTAATTCCTGTGTGACGGCGAAGACAATTGTCACGTGCTGATTTTCATTCGCTCGTTGGGTAAGTCCCATTGAATATATAACACACGATAGTATTTCTGGTAACAAGGTTAAATGTTATTAGTCCAATATAGTTTGATATTAACCACGCACGCAGCACGAGCGATAAACTGATACCCGTTGTTCTTTATGCGATACGGAATTCTAGATTTGTAACGATCAATACTGTAAGTTGTTTGTGTGTTGAAAAATGTTATGTTTACGTCGTTTAATGTACTTGTCGATAAGTACGACATCCGGTCTGTAGCTTCGAATTGTTTTGTCTGTGTTGGGAGGTTTCGGGTGAGCCGGTCTCTCTTTCCTCGGAAGTACACACGTGTTATTATTGTCACTATGTTTGTCTGGGAGCATTTTTCCACGCCCCCAGACACGGAATATAATTTATTCGATGGAGTTTGTTTATGGTAAAATACTTTCTGCCCGATTGGCGTGGGCGCCGATGGGAATCGTACCACGCGGGAATCGTCTCGTTTGTTATTTTACAACCCCCCCTAAAGTGGATAAACTGTCAGGCGACATTCGAAACTCCGAATAGGCTTTTCAGGTATACGATTTTATAGCTTAGGGGCGTGAGATCGAAAGGAATGTTTCTCATTACCCCACTCGTTGAACGCTTCTTTCAACGAATCCGAGTGATTACGAGAGGGGGGAGACACGCGATAATTTCAAAGATTTCGAGATAGCGTGTCTCGTACAGCCCCTTTCTTTTGATACAGAAACGATTAAGTCAAATGTTTAGAAGTGTTTTTCTGGTGTTCATTTCTGTTTTATTTCATTTTTTTTTCTCTTTCAGGTTGAACAAACTCCCACCCCGTTTCTGCCAGATGGCAGCAGAAATTAGTCTCGTGATGCTGTTCCTCTTCGTTGGACATCTGCAACACAACCAGGTGAGTGCTCTTTCTGTTTATTTCACGTGTTACGTCGAAATTAGTAATGTAACGGCTCCTGTATACGGATAAAATTAATGTCACCGAATTTAACGACTGTAAAAGTTTGTAAGAGAGGTTACTGTTTGTCGTAACAGGAAAAGAATTCGTCAATATACGACTACTCGCTCGCGCTAGTCGCTGCGATTTATTGCCCCTTCCGTTGGGAGTAACAAAAATAAAATGGAGGATACGTTTAAATTATTATTCATTAAGCAACGATGACAGCCTTCGGGATATATTATTACTAGGGCAATCTGTTTTTACAGGCAACAAAATGGATGATATTTATTTAGCTAACGTTTAAACTAGTCTTGTTTACAGTAGTGTGAATTATAGTAAGCTTAATAATAGATTAAAAAGTACGCTTCCTATCGAATTTCTTCACTCGGAAAACCTCGATTTAACAGTTTACGTGACTCGTTTTCTATTTTTCCTTCAGGTAAAAGGGAGCTTCTGGCGTCCGGAAGGGGAGGGAAATGCAAGACCTTATCGCAGATCTTGGTCTTCCTGGTCTCCCTGGTCATTTTGTAGCAGAACTTGTGGGACTGGAATCATCTCAAGGACCAGGTTATGTCGAGGAAGGTAATAAAAATTAAATAAATAAGTAAATAAACCTTCTGGGTGTGACGTTTATATCGACTTCCATTTTTTTTTTTTTTTTGGTCGTCACAACGCTTCTTCTGGCTGTAATGAATTTTCTATTGGTTTATCTCGTAAAATAATAATAATAAAAGATATTAAAAATCATTTAATCTATAATCAGACTTCGATATAGCGCTATCTTGGTAAATCGCAATATTGAGGTTTGACTTTAATTCACGCGACTTTTAAACTTTAACCTTGTGTACGGATCTACTTCATTGTTTTTATATAATTCTTACTGTTCGAGATGCTTCGGTTTTGCGCCTCATCCGAATTACGTGGAGAACAAATGATGGCGCTAAATCGAGGTTTATATATAGACTTTATACGAAATCTTGCTCAGATGAATGTAGAGCTAATGGACGAGGGGGTTCCCAAAATTGGTTTATTATTATGTTTTTTCACCCTTCTTTAAATGTTCATGATTTTGTTTTCAAGATTGCAGGATTATACCCTGTGCATACGATTCGTGTGGTGCAGCCGACAGCAACACGTGAAACGTCTCACTCGAAGTACATTTTTGCAGTAATGGCATACTCCTTCAGAATTTGCTCTGTGGATTGGGAAAGGACTGAAGTGCAATTAATCAATCATGTTGAACTGAAATGGACTTTTAGATTATTTTGACAAAATATGATGTAAATTATCAAAACAAGAGTTAGATAAACATTAACAACGTTTAGATATTAATCGGATGATATACTACGGACCTCGTTTTAGCACTTTGTTCCTCTCATTTATTTTATAATTATAAAATAAACGAGAGAGATCGAAGTATAACAATTAACTTCCAACTTCCTCTGTTATTTAAGTAAAAAAGCTACAGCTCAGTGCCACGAGGGATCTTGTTCTGTTCTCAAATACAGTTTACACATATTGCCTTTTATTATTTGGTGAAGAAAAAAGGGCCTAATATAGGGTGGGGCTGCAACGAGTCTAAATTAGGTTCTATATATAAAGAGCCTGATTAAACCGCCCTTCTTGCCACGATTTTCCCTTCTATATCCCTAATCTTTGACCTTTAATAAGAGTACACATTAAAAAGTACATGAAATACAGCACTTAATACGCAGATCTAATATATTTATATTGCAGGGTGGATGAGAATAAGACACAGAATGGATTTTGCCCAGGAGAAACAGTCGAATATAGGATATGCAATACGCAGGTAAACCATTATATCTTATACAATATCTCTGGTTTTCACAAATTTCTTCAACCCGTAATTCTGGCTGGTTTTGATGTATGTGTTACAACTGATATACAATTTTTTAGAATTTAAATACGTAATTGGGCATGAAAGAATCTTGTAATACGCTTAGAAGCTTGCAGCTTCAAGTTTGGAGTATCTGCAATGCCACGTTGAAAGCGCTACTCTGGTGTTTTTCAGCCAGTGGCACACCATACCAAAACGTGATTTTGAATATCTGCATTATTTTATATAGAAAAATGTACAAAAATCGTAAAATGTGTACAAAAATTAAGAGGTTTTATATAATTTTTTAGCATCTTCACCACAAGTTTGTGTGCCACACACAAGCCAAGAATCACTGCACTGTTCTGATCACTTAATAAGTAGCTCATGGCGTAGTTAATAATTAACAAGGTTTTCTTCTATAATATTTACTAGAGGTATTTCAAAATTAATGTTTGTTTACTGTTTTAATTTATAGAAATGCCCCTTGGATTCTATAGACTTCCGCCAGTGGCAATGTTCCCTTTACAATAACCGACAAGTGGCTCAACAAATAGTCACAGAATGGATTCCGTATCTCAAAGGTAAAAGATTAATTGAGAATTTAATTTTAATTTACAATTATTTAACAATTATAACTAATTATTGAGCACGTGTAGGGATGGGATAGAGGGTAAAGAGCAGGGTCCCAGATATAGAGGGACTCCAAAATTTAATGCTTTATATAAAAATATGATATAAATTAATGCTTATTTTGATAAGTACTTGTTAGTTAATTGTTTTATTGATTTTATTTATGTATTTTTACGACTTTTCGATAAAAGGTGGGATCCACACTTGTGACTTGGGTCAGGTCATGTCACATCTGTCAATGCGGGGTGTTTAGTCTCGAGTTGTGTGAGTAGCAGTAATACGTATGTGTTGAGAGCGATACGTGTCATAAAGCACGTGTACTCTCACGTGGCTTGTCGGTAAATATTCCTTAATAAAAAATGGAGCGTTTAGAATTGACCATTTAAGATATTTCAACTTAAGTCATTGAAAGTCATCGTCCCGCGTGTGAAGTATCTCGATCCCATAGAATCGAATTTGATTGATAGAAATAAAAAGAATATCATAATGGCACAATTACATATAACGACGTCATAAAAACGTAATTGTAGCATCACTGTGACGTAATTATATACCATAATAATGGAGTTAGGAGCGAGAAGACGATAATGTAATTGAAGAAACTGATATTTCTATAACTTTTCTTAACTTTAAAGGTCGAAACGAATGCGAATTAAGGTGTCAGACAAAGGAGAAGGACCGCCATTACTCATTTGGTAAAGTTATGGATGGTACTAGTTGCTCCGATGGGCAGGGGAGCATTTGCGTTAATGGCAGGTGTTCGGTAAGTAAAAATGGCCCGTGATGTCGTAATTCCGACAATACGAATGAGAAAATACTATTTATATTTCTGCAGTCCGTCGGTTGCGATGGTAAAGTGGGATCGAAAGCTATGAAAGACGTATGTGGAGTGTGCGAAGGGGGCAACAAGACTTGCGTGTTCTACAGGAAAGTATACGTTGGCCAACCTTCGAAACCCGGTAGGAATTTTGTTTTCGTTTACCTTTCTGACTTAAATTACTTATTACTCTAATTACGTGTAGGATATCATCGCGTAGCCATCGTTCCAGAAGGGGCTAGTCAAGTGGAGATCCGTGACGACAGTCAAATCAACCAATTAGGTAAGGTATCCACTCAAAATTCCTATTGATGGGTGCCTCTAACAGCCATTTTTTGCAGCATTAACGGACGATCGTCACCAGTACATCGTCAATGGGCCGGGTGTATACAGTCGCGCGGCTCGTTACGGAGCTTTAGGTACATACGTAGAATACCAACGGTTACCTGGCAACAGGGAAATCATTCGTATCCCTGGACCTACAGACCGGAACTCTTACGTCGTGGTAAGTTTAGAAAAAGTGACTTAATCTATTTTATCATTATTAACTCCCCTTCTTAATCGAGACTAGGCATTAATGCGAGGCACCCATCCTGGTATCTACTACCAGTATTGGTTATCGAACGGGGGAGACAGAGGTAATAGATCTCATCCATATTTACAACCCGCACAACCCAGAGAAGAGAAAAGGAAAGATTCTAGGTATCATGAGTACGAGATCGAGGATTCGAGACCCAGAAAATGGAACAACGTTGAAATTATAGTTGACCGGGAAGATAAGGGACTAGTCCTTGTCAAGGTGAACGGGACGAAGAAAAACAGTAGCAGGAAATCAGGTAAGATCCGAGTCTTTAAGAGTGGATGAATGGCCCGGGAAGAAAATAATCCGAGCTTTGCTTCGGAAGGCTGCGCCAGATGTGACAAGGTCAAAGACCCCTCTCGAAATTACTGCCAGAGCACTTTCGGTAAGTGAGGCTTTTGTTTCCCCCATTTTCTAATAGCAAAAGTTCAAAGTTGTGTAATTTCAGTTCTAAGAGCCATTGTGACGGACGTGAAGAGGGCCGAAGGGAAAATTCGATACGAACTTCGTGTTATTCGGTCTTTCAAGAGCGGACAACCTCTACATCATAAAGAATATTTGTGGACGGCGGATCGTTGTAGATGCCCAAAATTGCGACGAAACAGGGAATATGTCATAATGGCGCGATTAAGGAGAAGGGGAAGAGAGAGCCGTTTGGTGGTCGATCGACGATCCTACGTCAGAAGATACAATCAAAAGAGGGGACGTCTCCTATTGAAGTTGAAAGAGAAACTTAATTGTCCCAAGTAATTTGTAAAAAGTATAAACTTCTCTTTTACGTCACGGATGTATATTTTTTAAATAAATATTCTAACGGAATATCCGGTTTTCTATTGAAGTGATTTCCATTAATGCAGAAAGAATGGCCATATATTCCAAGCTCGAAAATGAATTTAAATACCAAACAGCTAATTGGTTTGTTAGGTTGATTGGGCTATAAAGTTAAATAATTAAAAAGAAATTTGGCAGGAGATAGACTGCTAGGTCGCCATCTCGTGTTAAATATAATAAATTTTAATTTAATTAATTTAACACCTTGTTCTTACCATACAGACAGGTTGTTTGTTACTCTAGCAGGACCTCTGACCGTTTAGCATTCTATTTCTTACAGAATATTCTAAAATTTATTTTATTTTATTATTAAAATTTAATTAATTTATATTTAACAAGAGATGGCAGCCTGCCTACTGCCAAATTACTTTCTAAATATTTAGCTTTATAGCCCAATAAAGAATTCGCCCGTTTATTTTTAATTAAATTATAATATAATATTAATTAATTATTTAAAAGTTAAACCGTGTTATTACATACAGGAAGGCCCGTAACTCTTGGGATTTTTCTTGTTTTTTTACTTTAATTAGGAATTTGTATAATAAACGGCGTAGAATAATAGTAAAAAAAAGTGAAAAAAATAATTAGCTGAGTATACACAAGTCTTTGTGATCTATATATACTACATACTCCATATTACTTAGTCTGTAGATCTATCGTAGCTGGCATAAGTGACATTCTTGGATGGAAAGTAAAAAAAAAAATCAGAAATGTCAACCTTGAAACGAAAAACTAGTTCTTTAATATCTTTAAAAAAATAAAAATAGACACGCAAGGGTTGGCATATGATTTTTTAAGCAATAAAAATATTAAATTTACAGTTTCCTGCCTTAAAAAGTCTTCTTTCGTGTTCACTTCCATTATGAAACTTGTGATCAGCAAAAAAATATCATTAATCAGAAAATTGTATTTAGATTTTTTGATCAGTAATTCATCAGATTTATTCTTAAAATAGTCATCTCTTCCTTCCTCTTCAAAACTTAGACTTGTTGTGATCCTAAACTGTAGTATAGAACAAGTCCCCTCCGTAAAATATTGATACATGTAAAAATACGAGGCCCTAAGCCGTAGTTTGTTTAGTTTATGTGCAAATCCGGCCCTATTGTTGTGGCAGGAATTCTTCTTCGTGTATTTGTAACCTTTTCTAGCACTTATAGAGTGCCTTTTAATGTTTGATTCTGCGATGAATAAAGTCAAACTACCAATGCTGGACGATTCCAAACAGCGAACACCTGTAAACGGCGGTCAATTTTTCAGGACAGTTCAACAAAAACATGCGAAGTAACCTTGTAATGACGGCCATTTTTTTATGTTTGTGTCAGTGGCCGTTGTTCGAAGGTTTGTGTGTTTTCGTGAGTTTGCCATTGGTTTTCTTTACGATACAATATATTTAATTAACTGATCGAACTTGGTATAAGAATCAGTGAAGGATTTTTAACAGAGGTAAATTTAATGCATTGGGCCCCTTCTCACGGCCCAATCCTTGAGCCTTTTTGCTTAAAAAAATGGTAGCTATGTTGTTTAATTAAAAGCTTTTTATTAAAATTATAAGGAAAAATTTGGGGCCTCGCGGACCCTTTTAACTTGCTAACTACACTGAATATAAGTGAAGATCGCATTGATTTTAATAATTATAATACACTTTTTAACGCTAATTTATTGTAAAATTTCAAACATAGAAATCTTTTAGTTATTTATTTTAAAAATTTTATATTTTATGGCAAAAAGAAGAAGTTATCATTACGTAAAATACAGTCAACTATAAAAAGTAGCTATAAATAAATTTTTACTTAAACAAACCGTAAATAACTTGTAACAAAATTATAAATAACCGAGAAGAATAAGTAGTAAAAAGTAATGAATTTTATTAAACCAATGTAATCCTTATATAACATTTTATATTGGTGAAGTTTCCTAAACAGCAATGCCCCATACGTAACAATGATATTTCAGAAATGCCATTGTATTCCATACTTTACTTTTTATTATTACTAATAGATGGCGCCACAAGACGTTCCTATTCCCTATTGTTTTCATTCTCTATAGCACCATCTACTGGCATAAATATTGATTATATTTAAGATAATAACTAATGCATACTTATTGATATATATATACCTTTTGGCTGATTCTCCCCATTCTGGGTGCCCAGTCTTGCGTTATATGTATTGAGTCAATCACGCGAGACCATTCGGACATTCTGGATTATCTGCTGACGGATTAACGAACTTCTATTGCAGTGGCACGTTATCCTATCCTATGGGCCAAAAGGGCAATTGTCTGGGGCCCTTATCAACGGAGTTAAAAAACCATTATTTTTTTATAAGAAAATATCTTTTGAAGAAATTACCCCGAATAAAAACGTATAAAGTCAACACTGTACACAGGGCCCCTAATTTAAATTTTCCTGGGCCTCTCGAAACTATAACGCCCTACTGTTTTACTGTATAAAGTTGGTAATTTTTGGCCCACAAATGTACAAACACTATTATTAACTTCTTTCAAAATCTGAAATTCTCAGCGACTTTTGAAAATGATCCATAGTGTCAGGACCGTGCGGTAGATTTTCAAAGTATGATGCAAGTCTTCGAAATACCTCCTCTGAAATGCCGCTTATGCCACCCCTTAAATGCTGCTTATGCTCCATTACAGTGCCGCCTGATGCGGCCTCATCTCTCCATCATAGCACGGCACGGCCCTACATGGTTTAACAAGATAAATTTATGAAAATTTCATTCTCATTTTTAAAATTTTGCATGTTTATTATTAAGCAAATTCACGTTCTTAATACAGAAATTGCAATTCATAACTTGAATTTTATTCATCCGTTGGCAATTCAGTTAATGAACAGAATGTTTCATTAGTGTAACATTTGCATCTCAAAGGAGGGCCCGTGGATGGTGGAGGGAGGCACACTCCACAAACCTTATTTTTCTCCACGCAATAATTGTTACACAGGGTGTCATTGGGGCATCCTCTATGACGAGTCGGATGTAAAACTCCTTCTGTATGGAAACCACCTGAAATATTAAGATGGCAATTAATTTATTTCTAAAATGTAAAGATTAATATTTCTTCCATTTCCATTATTACACCTTCAAGTTTCTTAGTTGATTCTTACACATGGTAATTTAAACGTGTTGCATCCTTCACTATTGATATCACAAAATCGAGTTTAGCTGCTACAGTAGATGAGCTTTATTTACCTTTATATTTCCACATCATTCGCAAAATTGAGCGTGGTACATTTGCAGGTGGTTCACGCCTTGCTTGTGGTTTCCGCTTATCATTAGCATTATGAAAAATAATAGAAAATGACAAAAATACGTGAAAATAAACACTGCAAAGTAGATAAGTTCTGAAAAAAATGAGCCACCTGCTATATCAGGAAGCGTAGCGAAATTCATATTGCATAAGCGCCTGGGGGGGTTGAATTCGGAAGTATTCTGATACGTGCAGTTGAAATAATAAAATCCTAAATAAAAATTCGACTTACCGTAAAAAATTACTGCTGCCAAAGCAAGGTAAAAACAAGGCTTCATGGTTATTTCAAATTCAATATCTGCAGAGAAAACAAATTTCAATTAAACACCTCGAGGGAAGTAAAGTGAAGAATAATGGGGAGACAAACCTTTATATATGACTGAAAGCCGTTTCGTCATTTAAAATTGACCAATAAAAATTTATGCATTATTCAATATGTTATATGTCATAAATTTATTTTATAACTGGAAACGATGTATTTGCGTGTTCAATACAGGTTTAAAAATAAATAGTTCAAAGAAAAATAGACTGTTTTGTTTTCCAGTAATTATATAAAATATATTTGAATAAACTTGAAAAATAGAGTGGTTTTTGTGTTCAAAATGTCTACAGAAAAAACGAAATCAAGGCAGACCACAGAAGATGGAAAGTGTAGGACTACTTGATTTTGAGGGGCAGAATTTTCTTGCTCTTTCTGCTTTACGGGTATAAGAGGACATTCTTATCATATGAAGGTCATATAAGGTAATAAGTGTTAAAGTGCTGTAAATATTTTACTGATCCCACCTTCTCTTTAACCCCTCATCTACAACACAAAACCTAATACAGTGAAAACTGCTTAGGCGACCACCTGCATTCGACGGGCACTTGCCAAAACGGGCAAAAATTTCTGGCACCGAATAGTTTATCAATAGAATCTTTGTATAAGTTACCTGTATTAAACGACCACCTGTGTAACGCGACCGCGGGCATCGATTTTTGGTCCGAAACAACATACAACACCTGCAATAAGCGACCACTTTCGCAAATGTATCTGCTCTAAACTATTGTAAGAACCCATCTCAACAACGTTTCCACCTCCTAATATAATGAATTAGTCTAAACTCTCGTTCGAACCCATCTCGGACACTTCCCCCACCCTTGAAATTAGGTGCAGGTGTTAATAAATTAGTCTAGCAACAAAGGAAATTCATTTCAGTTTCCCCGCGTTTCTTTATGCAGCGCTCGAGAAGCGCTTTACAGCAAACACACTGAAACTGGTTTCTAATTGGCCAACACTGCTCGTGACACCATTTCGCTACACTCTCGCTGCATAAAGAAACGCGGGGATTGTTGGAAAATGTCCGAAATGCAAAGTGCTGTCGTTAGAAGATCGTATTAAAGTTATCACAACAGCAATTAGCGGCGAAGTTTAATTAACTGTGGGAAAACAAAATTTTTTTTACCCTACACCTACAGTATTTTCCTTGGGGGCGTAAAATATTGTACACGATACAATTAATCGGCTGATCTCATCGTTTGATAAAATCTATTTTTATTTATTTATTTTGAAGCTCATATACAGTACACGTGCGATAAATAGTTTCTGTATCAACCTACCTTATTTCCACGATATTTTTAGAAAAATAATATCCAAGTAATTTTCGCAGGCAAAATATTCAAAAAACAATAAACGCATTAATGCAAAAATCAGTTTTACTTCCTTTTTCGATTCCGCGATTGTAATGAAATCGTATAATGAGAAAAAATAATAAAATCGTTTTATTATTAATTAATAATTTTTCTTATTGTACTTAATTAATTAAGAAAATATTAAATATTAAAAAATACAGTATTTTTAAAGTTAAAATAAGATTAAACTAACGAAAACCAAAAGCAAAGTGATGGAGAGATAGGACGCGCTTGTATATTGATGACGTAATACACGTAACTGAGGAGCGAACGAAAAGAACCGAGTCGAATTAATTAAGTCGGAAAAAAGAAAGTGTGCATTATAATCGAGAAAATGCGAGTATTGTATTAATCTTTAAAGTATTGGTGTTAAATCTGTCTTATAATATCATGACGACTCCTGTAAATCGGGTTATCCGATAAGAATAAAATACAATACCAATATAGCCCTATAGTTGAAAAAATTGGCTTATTTTTTTCTCATCTCGAGTTTTGCTTAATAGAAATGGATAAAAAGTGCGCAAAATACGTACGGAAATACGGTATTACAGCAACACCTGTATTGAACGACCACCTGTCTAAAAGACCACTTTTTGTAGGAACCGTGGGTGGTCACCATAGACAGGTTTTACTGTAGTGTCAATTCACCATACAAGAAAGACATCGTCCGTACGCAAAATGTTTAGTCGGCAGAAAAGAGGGTAAGGGAAAGGGGAGGGGAAGAAGGAGGGAGAGAAGATAGACTGTAGAGAAAGGTAGGATCCCTCTGAACGGCGTACATATGGCTGCAGTACCCTATATGTTTGATTTTGGCGTGCAGTTTTTATGCTGCAAGGCCGTAGTCCACCAAAGGGTCTAAAAGTAAATCTGAGTGTAGCGGACACTAATAATTGAGTGCCGCCACGAATAGCTAAGTGTAGAAGTTAGTGTCAAGTGGCTGTTAGTAGGAAGACTTATATCTACTTAATACTAATAAAACTGAACACGATCGCAAATCTTAATGCTTAATTAATCTTAATACAATTCACTATATATAGAAATAACGCTGCCATGTTTCAGAAGTTTTGGTTCATCCGTTCTTCGATGCAATATAAAAAAAACACCGATACAAACACACACACAGAATTTTGTGTGTATTTGTATCGGCGTTTTATTTGGTTTAGTTTTAATTGATGGTATTAAATTTATCGATTAGGGGAGAGAGATTGTGTGAGTCACATTAATTTAATTACTTAAAAGTATTTTATGTAATTACTGGAAAACAAAGCTGTCTATTTTTTCCTTGAACTCTTTATTTTATAGTCTGTATTGTAGATGGAAATACATTATTTCCGGTTATAAAAAGTGTTACATATTGGCGTTAAATGAAGTAAATACTTTACGATCTTGTCATTAACCCGTGAATCGTTTTTACTCAGTTCTGTTCTTCTTCTGCCTGTGCCTTCTCCTAGGAGAGGTTGGCGGCCAGCAAATACCGCGAATCTGTGTTGTGAGTCTTATGAATAATTTCTTCAGTATCTAGTCCTGTCCAGTCTTTAAGGTCATCCATCTAGTATCGTCTTCTTCTTCCCCTTGATCTTCTTCCCTCAATATTTTCTTCTAATGTGAGTTTGGGGATTTCATATTTTTCTTCCCTCAATGTGTTCACAGTATGCTAGTTTTCTCCTCTTTATTATTTTTATTAATTCTCTTTTAGTATTTGCCATCTGTAACACTCTGTCATTAGTGGTTCTGCTAGACCACTTGATCTTCAACATTCTTCTGATTGCCCACATCTCAAAGGCCTCAATTTTCCTCTTCATGCCTTTTCGTAGTGTCCATGCCTCACATCCAGAAAGCCAAACGGGCCAAATGTAGCATCTTAGAGTTTTTAGTCTTAATTGTGAATTTAGTTTCTTTTCACACAGAATGTTTTCATCTGGCTAAACTTGTCTTTACCTTGTTCAATTCTGCATCGGATTTCCTTTGATACATTATTGTCTGTACTTTTTTAAAACTCTTTCCGTTCTGTAGACACTAAGAGGACCTCTTTTAGGAAACCCATTATAAGTTCGGCTAGGTATACACTGGTGCAGCCGAGTAGTGTGGGATGAGGCCCGACATATTTAGACAGACTAACTACCGAAAAATTATGAATGTTTTTCAACCCGATAGATTTAATTTTGGGTTTTTTTCTTTTTCTCTTTCCGCCCTGTGGGCACTAAGAGGGCCTCTCATAGCAGGCCCGTTATGGGTTCGGCCAGGCCCACAATGGGACGACCGGGTGAGGGACGAGGCCCGACATATCCGAACGGACCACCCCCGAAAAATGATTCCGGGAGTCTTATAGCAGTGGTTTTAAATGTTTTTCGTGTCGCGGACCCCTAAAATCCCACACCCTAATGATCTGCGGACTCTGGCCGCGGCACCTGGACAGCTAGAAGCCCACGGACTACCTGTTGAGTAACGCGGCCCTAGTGTTAGTAGTTGCCATCTTAACCGCCCGGCCACCGGGCTTTCCCTTCACAGCAATAGAAAAATTTGTCATTTCCTTTTTAACGATGCTTGTTCTTTTAATTTTAATATTTTTAAAAATTGTTTGATGCAACATAAATATACTATTTCATTTTTATTTATTTTTTGAGTTTATTATTATTATTATTAATTAAATAAATATTTTACCTTCTTAAAGCGCCTCTATCGGCTATCTTACGAAATAGATTTGCTAATTTGATTAAGTAGCACGTGGTATTATTTTGAAGTGTAATTTTTGTTATTTTAATATGAATAGGTAAATTTCTGTTAATATTTGATTTGATCATTATTTTCATTATAAAGTCTATATTAGTTATGTAAATTTAAATCTTAGTTGTGTTAATATTTTAATATTTGTTTGTTCACTAATGCTATGGGACTTACATGACCATTTAAATTAATGTCTTAATTTGTAAAATGCCATTTAATGTTTAATTTAAATTAATATATCGACGTCATGATTGATGATAAAGTCTCTAACAGAGTTTTATTTAATTTGCAAAGGATACATATATACATATTATTTTCATGTTATTTAAAGACTAATATTTGCTTTGATAATGGCTTAATTTTCAACAGATTGTAAGAAATCAGTGTAAGAAGAGCATCTAAATGTTCATTAAAAGGTGTCCCAACTAATGTTCCCTCTAATTTTCATATAGCTATGCAGTGTTGAAATGTATCAGACAAGAAATCCATTAAATGTTCATAAAAACTTTCTTGCTTAGAATCAGTCATACTATTTACTGGAATATTACAGATTCCTTCTGTATAAAATTATTTGGATTGTCATGAAATTCTGTTGGTTGCGTGTGTGTGTGGAAATAAAAGCACCTGTTGAAACTCCATAGAAATCAGTGTGTGGCTGTGCATGTAGCTGTCCTTAGAGGGAACATTGGTCCTAACTATTTTTTGTTGTCACAAGTTGCAGAACATCATTCATGTTATTCTGCACAGAATGCTCTTTTGCAGTGATTGCTATATAGGGTACTTTCTACATTCTTTTAATAGACAGATGAAATAGATAGTTTTTTTGAGAGTTCAGGTTCTTGTTTTTCTGCATTAACCTTAATTAATTTTATCAGTGTGCTAAGTTAATGCTGAAAAGTTGTGAGTTTACACCAATTTTCTAACCAAGGTTCTATCAACTACTTGTGAAGTTTATCATAACATCTTTGTTCAGTTTTTTAACAGTAAGAACAAGGGCAAATCCAGAGGATGCTTATGGTGATGAAGTACCTGTTTGATATCAAAGCAATCAGTTTTGTTACTTTAGAATAAAAATAAAAATAATAATGCATATAGAGTGACTGCAGTGAGGCACGATTAAGTATCTAAAGTATAATAATTTCTAAGGTAATTGAGGAACATTCTCTGAAAAATGACAGAGTGCATGTGCTTAGATCCCTCTGAATCTATCTTGAGCAGTACTCATATTCTCAAAATCCTGGATATGACTTTTATCTTCCCATTTTCTGGCTTTTTATACCAGAACATTACTAATATCAACAAAACATATGTTGAGCTTTCAAAGTTTAATTAAACAATAATATTAAAGTTTTGTAAAATCTAAGAATCTAATTCAATGAGCTATGTATAAGGACATCTGCCTATGACTTTACATAATTGCCATATTCAATTACAGTTGTCCCTTGATAATCCGACAGGTATGGGACCAAAGGTGTGTCAGATTACCAAAAGTGTCCGGATTACCGAAAATAATTACATATTTCACATTGTTTTGCTAGCAGTAACTTACAATATTCTCTACTCCAACTGTTCGAACAGAACTGCTCACATAAAACACACGAAATGTGTGTCATCGAG